CTGACATTCTAGAAAGAGACACCGTAGCAACTTTTATGTTTAATGAGATCAGACAAACTTCTACATCCCAAAATGAAGAACTATCCATTTTGTGGCTTTGACTAAGCAGTATTGTTTTAGTCGCAAACGTAGAATAATACTGTCATCGAGAGCATAGTATATTTAAATATACTATATATATTATATATTATATTGTATCATGCGATGCAATATAATTACAAGGACCTCCACCGCCAACAACTGAAATTATATATTTGGATATAGATTCCTCCTGGTTTGGGTCATATCAAGGAAGAACCTGTTCTGTGGGTCACAGCCCCTGATTGGAAAATGTAACTCTCCATTGAATAAATATAAATGAACACAGTTACTTTACCCGCGTATTTGAATTTTTACCACAACCATCAAGATACTTTCTTTCACTACTTTGGTTAAGACAGCGAAAGCTGTAGGCCCTAAATATTTTGGTTCCAGATTTACATCTGCAGTTAGGCAACATCAATGAAACTCACTCATATTTTAACACATGTTAGAGTATTTTCTCTAATATTTTCTGAGAAGCGATGCCTCATATCGCTAGCCCATATCCCGAATCTCATTGCTACAGCTATATAATCATCAATTTCTTCTAGCTTGAGAGTGTAGATAAGGCTCTGAAAAATATAATGGTGCCAAAAGTTATACAACAGATTTTATAGTGACGTTTTTGTGCTGTGAATTAACTTCCGAGATCATGTCATTGTCATCACAGCAATGACAAAAATATCTATCGTGATCTAACGCCAAAAATATTGTTTTTGTGAACAGTCTTTAGTCTCTTAACGCTTTGAAAATACATATCCATCAAGTTATGGCCGATAAATTGCCATCTATTTACCTATTTGCCAATTAAAAATATATCAAAAAACTTAAATACTGTGAAATGTGTCGTAGATAACATTTAATGGTAATTCTGGTAAAGATCGTTTAAAGTCTTTCGAAAAATTTTGGAAAAATCATATGAAAGACTGTTTAAAAGATTTTTGTTATTATGGCACAAATATTATTTTGTTCTATTGTTCTATTGCTTACGTGGTGAAATTAAAAACAGCCGTTAGTCGCTATCGCACACAAGTAAAAAATTTAATTTTAATACAAATGAATTCAATTTAAATTTATAAAAAATATATAAATTATATATAAAATATATATTTTAAAATTTTTATAGAGAGTATATCAATACCTTGACGTTTCTGTTGTATGAAAAATAAAATTAGAAATAATTGTTCCATTTTTAAAAATTTTAATTATTTAATTAATAATTTTTATTTTAATTTTTATTTATTTTATTTATTATAAAAATAAAAACTTACACACGAAAAACACAAAGTAAATTTTAGCTGACAATCAAATGATCTATTCAATGGCATTTCTTTCATTTAGTCTTTCAAAAGACCGAAAAGAGCTTTTTGTCTGTCAAGACCGAAAAGAGCTTTTTGTCTGTCAAGACCGAAAAGTACGTTCTGTCTTTCAAGACCAATAAGAACTTTCTCCTTTGTTTTAATCAAAAAGAACTATTCGTGTTTCAAAACATGCCTGACAGAACACGAAACATCTTTCAAATGATCTTTCAAAAAAGTTTTGACTGTGGTGAGCCGAAGAACCAATGCCGAGATTGTCCTGCTAAATAATATTGTATTGTGTTGGGTGTGAACCCAATAGTAGTGCCCAAAAAAAATCACAAGTAGATATGTAGTATTTACACATATTTTTGGAACCAGGAAATGGATAATCTAGCATATTCAAAATCACAACAACAAAAAGTCAC